CCCCCCGGGGCCCCCCCCGGGGGCCCCCCCGGGGGCCCCCCCGAGGAGTGGCCGTACATAAGCTCGCACTACCGCTGCTGGCTGTTTTCCGCTGCTGCTGTTGCAGCGCAGCAGCAGCAAGTGCACGCAGCAGCAGTGGGGCGTCTTGCTGCAGTGGACGCAGCAGCAGCAGCAGCAGCGCCCAGCCTGCGCGAGCTGCTGCTGCTGCAGCAGTACTTCGCGCTGCAGCTGCTGCTGCTCTTCCAGCGCAAAGGCCTCAGCAACTCCGTCTTGGAAACTTCTTGTCTTTTCTTCCACAGATTCTTTTTTGCTGTTTCTTCTTTAGCAGCAGATCCTCGCCCGGCCCTCTTCGCCTGTTTGCTGCTGGCCCTCAAGGCCACGGACACCGCCAGGCACTACACTCTCGGGGCCAGTCCTGCTGCTGCTGCTGCTGCTGCTGCTGCTGCTGCTGCTGCTGCTGCTGCTGCTGCTGGGGATGCTGCTGTGGTGGTGGTGGTGCTGCTGCTGTGCTGCTGTGGTGCTGTTGCTGCTGGGGGTGGAGGGGCTTGGAGGCTAAACCCTAAACCCTAAGCCCTAAACCCTAAACCCTAAACCCTAGTTTGTGGTTTGTTTGCAGGAGCTGCTGGGGGACATTGCGGACTTGGACTTGAATGCAGTTTTATCCTTCGAATTGGTGGTTTGCGAGGCGCTGCAGTTTCAGCTGCTGGCCCTCAGCAGCAAAGAGCCCCTCAACGAGCTTTGTGCGCAGCTAGTTGCTGCAGCAGAGGCCACGCTGCAGCAGCAGCTGCAGCAGCTGCAGCACGAGCAGCAGCAGCAGCAGCAGCAGCAGCAGCAGCACGCGGAAGAGACGCGGAGCGCAGCAGCGAGCAGCAGCAACGGCAGCAGCAGCAGCAGCAACGGCAGCAGCAGCAGCAGCAACGGCAGCAGCAGCAGCAGCAGCAGCAGCAGCAGCAGCATGAACGACCGCGTGGAGGCGCTGGAGCTGCAGCACATAAAGCTGCTGTCGCAGCTGGTGCTGCTGCAGGAAGAAGCAGAAGCAACTTGTTTGCTGCTGTTTGCTTCTCCTGTGCTGCCGCTGCTGCACCCCCCAGCCAGACTTGCTGCTGCTGCGCTGCTGGCGAGCCCGCTGCTGCAGCAGCTGCAGCAGCAGCACGGCTTCGACGCTGAACTTGTCATCAAGAGACACTTGCTCAGCCTCGCAGAGGATGGCCCAACTGCAGCAGCAGCAGCAGCAGCAGCAGCAGCAGCAGCAGCAGCAGAAGGCAGCGCAGCAGCAGCGCCAGCTGCAGCAGCAGCAGCAGCAGGCAGTGCAGCAGAGCCGCGCGCGCCGCCAGCGGCAGCAGACAGCGCAGCAGCAGCAGCAGCAGCAGACAACGCAGCAGCAGCAGCAGCAGACAACGCAGCAGCAGCAGCAGCAGCAGCAGCAGCAGCAGCAGCAGAAGAGCGTTGGTCTGAGCTGCTTCGTTGCTTCTCGGAAATAAAAAAAGAATTAATTGTTTTAAAACAAACTCAAAGACAGACACAAAACGGCCAACTCTCCCAGCCCATGGCTGCTGTCCTCGCCAGGGCCGTCGAAGCAGCAGAAGTAACCCGCTGCTGCTGCTGCTGCTGCTGCTGCTGCTGCTGCTGCTGCTGCTGCTGCTGGTGATAATTATCTTCGAGCTGCCAGTGCTGCTGTTGCTATTCTCTTGGTGCTGCTGCTGCTGCTAGTAATTGTGTTCGAGCTGCCAGTGCTGTTATTGCTGCTGCTGTTGCCTTTCATGCTGTTGATGCTGCTGCTGCTGCTGCTGCTGCTGCTGCTGCTGCTGCTGCTGCTGATAACAACGGTAATTTTTTTAATGTTGCTGCTGCTGCTGATGCCTGTGACCCTCGTAATGTTGCTGCTGCTGCTGAGGCTGCAACGGGTGCTGCGCAATATAGTTCTAAGGCTGCTGCTAATGGTTTGCTTGCTGCTGCTGCTGCTGCTGCTGCTGCTGCTGCTGCTGCTGCTGCGATTGAGTCCTGCTGTTGTCACTGCATCTGCGGTTGTGCTGCTGCTGCTGCTGCAACTTGTGCTGCTCTTGCAAGTGCTGTTGCTGCCGCCGCTGCTGCAGCTTTCGCTGCTGCTGCAGTACCTGCTGCTTGTGCTGCTGCTGCTGCTGCTGCTGCTGCTGCAGGTTTTGGAAGGCAACGGTAGAGACGGCCGCAAAGACAAAAAGAGGAAAAAGAAAAAGTCGAAAAAGGAGTAAACAGCAGCAGCAGAAGAAGCAGCAGAAGCAGCAGCAGAAACTGCAGCAAGAGCGTTCACAGCAGCAGCGGCAGCAGCAGCAGCAGCAGCAGCAGCAGCGTTGGATCTCTATTCGTTTTCCCAGCAGGGCACAAAAGGCCTCCTCACAAATGCACAAAGCCTTTAGTGTGTCTTCCTTAGCTAGCTAGCTGGCTAGCTAGCTGGCTAGCTAGCTGGCTAGCTAGCTGGCTAGCTAGCTGGCTAGCTAGCTAGCTATCTAGCTAGCTAAGCAGATGGCTGGATAGCTAGCCAGCTAGCTGAGTGGCTAACTAGCTAGCTGGCTAGCTAACTAGCTAAATGGCTAGCTCGCTAGCTAGCTGGACAGCCAGCTACTTATCTCGCTCGCTAGCTAGCCAGCTAGCTAGCTAGCCAGCTAGCTACTTATCTAGCTAGCTAGCTAGCTAGCTAGTTAAGTAGCTAGCTAGCTAGCTGGTTAAGTAGCTAGCTAGCTGGTTAAGTAGCTAGCTAGCTGGCTAGCTACCTGGTGAAGTAGCTAGCTAGCTGGCGAGCTAGCTAGCTAGCTAGCTAGCTAGCTAGCTATCTGGTTAAGTGGCTAGCTAGCTAGCTAGCTATCTAGCTAGCTAGCTAGCTAGCCAAAGAGTGTTTTTGTTTGATTGGCTTCTCTTCAGAGAGGCCCCAATGGGGCGCAGCAAGCGCTTAACTAGCAGCAAATAAAAACTTGCAAATAATAGAAATTGAAATAAATAAATAAATAAATAAATAAATAAATAAATAAATAAACAAATAAATAAAAAAATAAATAAATAGACAAATAAATGAACAAATAAATAAATAAACTGAAGTGAAGAAATGAATAACTGAGGGGATATATTATTTGAAAAGGAAATTCTGAAGAGAGAAACGAGTGGTTCTTTATAATTAATTTTTCTTATTTTTATGTTTAATTATATTTGTTAATTAATTAATTAATTAATTAATTAATTAGATTGTTTATTTATTTATTTATTTATTTATTTATTTATTTATTTATTTATTTACTTATTTGTTTATTTATTTATTTATTTATTTATTTATTTATTTATTTACTTATTAGCTACTTCCTCTTTGGCGGAGAAGTCCGAAGAGGGGTCAAACGAGGGGCAAAAAGATGAGAAATGAAAATAAATAAATGAGAAATAATAAATAAATGAAAAATAATAAAAAAAAGAATAAAAAGATATGAAAATAAATGAAAAATGGACAAATGAGGCAAAAAAGAAGAAAAGATGAGACCAGCAGCAGCAGCAGCAGCAGCAGCAGCAGCAGCAGCAGCAGCAACAGCCGTTCCGCGGACACGGCCAGCGATCCCTTTGTGCTTTTAATTCATTTATTTTTGAATTTAAATTTAATTCTTTTTTATTTTTTAAATTCATTTTATTTATTCGAGAGACAAAGCCTGGAGCTGCTTCGTCGCGAGCAGCAGTCGAGATCCTGCTGCTGCTGCTGCTGCAGCAGAAGCAGCAGCAGCAGCAGCAGCAGCGACAGCGGAGTATTAGTTTTTGCTGCGCGTCTCGCGGCTTCCTGGCACTGTCTGTACACCTGAAATAGCGGCTGCTGCTGCTGCTGCCGCGTCTACTGCAGCAACGTGCTGTTCCCTCCTGCGAGGCAGCAGCAGCAGCAGCAGCAGCAGCAGCAGCAGCAGCAGCAGCAGCAGCACACGCGGCCGACGAGCGTCATTCGCTGCTGGGGTTTGCGTTGCCTCTTCTGCTGCTTCCTGTCTGTTGTTTTTATTTTTACTATTTAAATGAATGCATAATTAAACATTTATTTATTTCTAGGGGCCCCTCACCCCGCTGAGAAACGGCAGCAGCAGCAGCAGCAGCAGCAGCAGCAGCAGCAGCAGCAGCTGCTGCTGCTGCTTGCGCTGGGGGCTGCTGCCGGTGCGGCGCCTCCTGCCCAGGACTTCGGCCCTTGTCTTTTCTTTTATTTCGCTTTTTAGTGACTGCTTTCTGCTGCAGCTGCTGGGTGCTTAACAGCAGCAGCAGCAGCAGCAGCAGCAGCAGCAGCAGCAGCAATAGCATCAGCTCCAGCAACTCCAGCTAACCTTAGCTCCCTGCTCAGGGGCCCCACTTGCGTACCCTGAACCCCACGACAAATAGGGGCCCCTTCCCCAAGCAGCAGCAGCAGCAGCAGCAGCAGCAGCAGCAGCAGCAGCAGCAGCAGCAGCAAGGAGTCTCAGCAAGGGGGGCCCCCAGCATGATAGCTACTCCGCCGCAGCGCCAGCAGGGGGCCCCCCCTCAGGTTAGGGCACAGCCCCAGGGGCCCCCGGGGCCCCAGGGGCCCCTGGGGGCCCCCCCGGGGGGCCCCCTGTTGGCCCCTGCTGCTGCAGCACCTCTAGGCTGGCTGCCGCAGACTCGCAGCCCTGCAGCGCAGCAGCAGCAGCAGCAGCAGCAGCAGCAGCAGCAGCCTGTGAAGCCGCCGCTGCCTCCTGCTGCGCACAACGGGCCAGCCACTGCGTGGATGGAAGCAGCAGAAGCAGCAAGGCAGCTGCTGCAGAACATGAGAATGCCTGCTGCAGCAGAAACGGAGCAGCAGCAGCAGCAGCAGCAGCAGCAGCAGATGCTGCGGGCTGCGGAGGCCCGCTACCGCCGCAGCAGCAGACACACAGAAGATCCACGGCCACGGAGCTCTTTGCAGGAGGAGGGGCAGCAGCAGCAGCAGCAGCAGCAGCTGCAGCAGCTGCAGCAGCAAGTGGAGTCGCTGCAGCAGCAGCTGCAGCAGGAACGCCAGAAGGCCCGAGATGAGTCTGCTGCGCTGCAGCAGGAGACAGCAGCCCTCAGACAGCAGCTGCAGCAGCAGCAGCAGCAGCAGCAGCAAGACAACGGAGAGCATGGGCAGCAGGAGCGGCAGCATTTGGTGGAGCAGCTGCAGCAGCAGCAGCAGCAGATCAAGCTGCTGCAGCAGCAGCTTGACGAGAAGCAGCAAGCGTCAGCTTCTGCGGTGGACGCAGAAGGCAATGAACAGCAGCAGCAGCAGCAGCAGCAGGACTTAAGGCAGCAAGTGGAGCAGCTGCAGCAGCAGCTTGCGAGCCAGGGCCAGCAGTTGGAGGAAAAGGAGCAGCAGCTGCAGCAGCTGCAGCAGCAGCTGCAGCAGCTGCAACAGCAGCTGCAGCAACAGACAGAGAAAGCGGCGCAGCAGCAGCAGCAGCTGCGCGAGTACGAGCGGAAGAGTGCTGCCGCTGCTGCAGCCAGCAGCAGCAGCAGCAGCAGCAGCAGCAGCAGCAGCAGCCTCGCGAAGTCTCTGCAAACGCTGCAGCAGGAAATAGCCCGTATTCGGCTGCAGCACGAAGCTGCGCTGCAGTGTCTGGGCAGCTCTGCTGCTGCTGCTGACCAGGGTGCAGCAGCAGCAGCAGCAGCAGCAGGGCAGCAGGCGTTCGACGACATAGGAAATGTAATCCAGGGCATGCAGCGAGAGCAGCAAGAGCAGCAGCAGCAGCAGCAGCAGCAGCAGCTGCTGCAGCCGCTGCAGCAGCCGGGGAGCCCCTGCAGCAGCGTGGCCTGCAGCACGAGGGTGCGGTCGCGGCGCAGCAGCATCGTGAGCAGCAGCAGCAGCAGCAGCAGCAGCAGCAGCTGCATCTCTTCGATGCTGACAGCAGTGCAGCGCATGCAGGAGATTTACACAAAAGCAACAGCAGCAGAAGCAGCAGCAAGGCAGCAGCAGCAAGGAGCCCGGCAGCTAAACCGCAGCAGCTTCTCTGTCTTGTCCAGCCGCTTCCCCACACTCCCGCTGCTTGCTGCTGCTGCTGCAGCAGACCCCAGCCGCCCCTCAACGCCTTCCCACCTCAGGTAGCTGCTGCTGCTGCTGCTGCTGCTGCTGCTGCTGCTGCTGCTGCTGCTGCTGCTGCTGCTGCTGATGTGGCCGGTGGCTTCGCTTGTGCTGCTGATGCCGTTGTTTGATGCTGACCCCGCTGCTGCTGCTGCTGCTCTTCTGATTGCTGCTGCTGTTTTTGTGACTGCTGCTGCTGTTGCTGCTGCTGTGATGCTTCCTGCTGCTGTTTCTGTGATTGCTGCTGCTGCTGCTGTGATTGCTGCTGCTGCTGCTGCAGCGTTGCTTCGCTTCCGGTGAATGTCCAAACGCCTGCTACCCGCATGTGGGGCAGCGCACATCCCGTGCTGCAGCAGCAGCAGCAGCAGCAGCCGCAGCAGCAGCAGCAGCAGCCGGAGCTTCAGCAGAAGCAGCAACAGCAGCAGCAGCAGCAGCAGCAGCAGCAGCAGCAGCAGCTATGGGAAACACCACAGACCCCTCCGCCGCTGAGTGTATCGAGCGTAGCTTCCGGAGACTTCAAGCAGCAGCGGCAGCAGCCGCAGCAGCAGCAGGATCAGCAGCAGCAGCAGCAGCAGCCGGAGCAGCAAACCACCTCGAGTATCTCCTCGCTGCAGCGGCCGCAGCAAGGCTCTGCCACGACAGCAGCAACAGAAGGGCCTTTGGGCCTCAGCAGCAGCAGCAGCACTGCGTCTCCGCCCCTGTTCGCGCAGCAGCAGCAGCAGCAGCAGCTGCAGCAGCAGCTGCAGCAGCAGCTGCAGCAGCACGTACAGGACAGCAGACGCAGCAGCGCCCGCACCATAGATGAATTCTTTGCATAGGGGGGCCCCTGGGGGGCCCCAACAGCTCTCGGGGGGCCCCCCAACTGAACCCTTGGGGGGCCCCCAAACCCTTGGGGGGCCCCCAAACCCTTGGGGGTCCCCCAAACCCTTGGGGGGCCCCCAAACCCTTGGGGGGCCCCCAAACACTTGGGGGGCCCCCAAGCCGCTAGGGGGCCCCTAAACCCTAGGGGGCCCCCTAAACCCTTAGGGGCCTCTAAACCCTAGGGGGCCCCTAAACCCTAGGGGGCCCCCGAACCCTTTGGGGGCCCCTGTGATTAGTGGTGGAGACACCTTGAGGTGTCTTCGCGCCCTTGCTGTATAGTTCTGCTGCAGCTGCTGCTGCCGCAGTGTTTGGGCGCGGGCCCTTTTTCTTTAGTAACTCGGAAGAAGTATTTGTGTGCATTTGTTTATTTGTAATTATTTATTAATCATTTAAAAGTTATTTATTATTTATTATTATTACTTATTATTTATTATTTATTATTTATTGTTATTTATTTATGGGGTTTATTTGCTGCTGCTGCTGCTGCTGCTGCTGCTGCTGCTTGCAGCCACGGCGAAGAAGCTGCATTTTTGTTTTATTGCAATTGTTCTGCATTTGACTTGCATTTAATTTATATTTTATTTAAATTTTAATTAAATTTTATTTATTTTATTTTATTTTATTTTATTTTTATTTTTATTTCAAATAAATGCGTTTTAGTCCATTCGCACTTTGCAGTGCTTTCGGGTGTACGTACACAAGGCCGTTTTTTGAATTTAAATTCTTTTTTTAAATTTAAAATTCCATTTTTAAATTTAAAAGTTTATTTCAATATTTCAAAATTTATTTAATTGAAAAATCCATTTCTGGTCATTAAACAAAATGCAAAAAGTGAAAAGCCCGCAGCGCATGCAAGCGCATGCAAACTACAAACGAATGCGGCTGCTGCTGCTGCTGCTGTTGCTGCTGCTGCTGCTGTTGCTGCTGATGGTGGTGCTGCTTATGCTGGTTGTGTTACTGCTGCTGCTGCTGACGCTGATGGTGACTAGTCTGCTGCTGATGCTGCTGCTGGTGACTATGATTCTGCTGCTGCTGACAATGTTACGGAAGCAGCAGCAGCAGCAGCAGCAGCAGCAGCAGAAGCAGCAGCAGCCTACAAATCATTTGGGTACTTAGAGGCAGCTGATTGTGAAATAAATTCATTTTAAATAAAAGTTTTATTTATTTTAAAAGTTTTATTTATTTTTAAAAGAGGTTTTTTGTGGGGCAACGAAAGCTCGTCAGCGAATCCAAGCACATGTTGCAGCTGCTTTAGGATTTAGGGTTTAGGGTTTAGGGTTTAGGGTTTACCCAGGGGTGGGCGTTGCTGCTGCTGGCGCCGCCAAACCCTAATTTAGGGTTTAGGGTTAGGGGTTTGAGGCTAGGCCACAACAGCGGCATCTGCGTGGGCACATCCCGCCTTTAGCAGTATTTCGGGTAGGAATTTCACCTGCCGGTGCCACCAAACCCTAATTTTCACCTGCCGGTGCCACCAAACCCTAATTTAGGGTTTAGGGTTTAGGGTTTAGGGCTTGAGGGTAGGCCCTTTTCGACAGCGGCATTTGCGTGGGCACGCAGTATCCCGGTTCTGCACTTCACCCGTCGATGCCACCAAACCCTAATTTAGGGTTTAGGGTTTAGGGTTTAGGGTTTAGGGTTTAGGGTTTAGGCTTTTTTTCTGCAGGTGTGGTCGAAGAAGACAATTTGCGCGTTTCCGGGGGCAGGGAATTCGAAGCGCGTGGTGCCGTCTCCGGGAGGGAGGTTTGGATTAGGGTTTAGGGTTTTGGAGTCTCTTTTGTGGCGAAAGAGAAGCCCGAAACCCTGCTGCTGCTGCTGCTGCTGCTGCTGCTGCTGCTGCTTCACGCTGAAGTGGCTGCTGCTGCTGCAGCAGCAAAACGAAGACGCCATGTTCAAGTACGCCAGGTCCGACGGCCGCGGCAGCAGTCTGCAGCAATTAATTAATTAAATTAAATTAATTTAATTAAATAAATTAATTAAATTAATTAATTAAATTGATTAATTTAATTAATTAATTAATTAAATTAATTAAATAATTAAATAATTGGAGGAGTTGAAGAATTGAAGACAAAAGGGATGAAGGGAGAAATTTGAAAGACATAAAAAAATCGAAAAAACGGAAAAAGAGAAAAAATCAAAAAAGATAAAAAGAGAATTAAATAAAACCAAAAAGAGAAATAAAAGGAGAATATAACAATAAATAAAATGCGGCAAAAAGAAGACCAAAAAGAAAACCAAAAAGACCTAAAAGGGGAAATAAAAAAGCCAAAAAGAGAAAAAAAGATCCAAAAAACACAAAAAAAATAAAAAAAGATTTAAAAAGAAAAAGAATCTTCAACTGGCTTTCTCTTCTTGCCTCTTCTTTCCCTCGCAAATGTCTCGAAAACTCTTTTCTTTTATTCGATCTGCCAAATCAATATATCCACTGACTTCAATTCCCTCTTCATTCAAATCCCTCACATAAACAATTGTCGACAAACTCCCATTCAATATCAAATCCACTCGACCCGCCAGCTGCAGCCCCAAGCTGTTCTCCCGTGGCCCCGGGGGCCCCCCGGGGGGCCCCCCTGGGGGCCCCCCCGGGGGCCCCCCTGGGGGCCCCCCGGGGGGGGGCCCCAGGGGCCCCCCTGGGGGGCCCCCCGGGAGGCCCCCCAGGGGGCCCCCTAAGGGACTCCCTGCTGGAGAGGCCCCCAGGGCTAGGGGGCCCCCTGATGGGGGCCCCAGGGGGGCCCCCGGGGGGCCCCCAGGGGAGGAGGTACCGGGGGGGCCCCCCGGGGGGGCCCCCGGGGGGCCCCCAACTCCGTAATGTTTGGCCTTGCGGTTTTGTTCATCTAATGTTTCTGCCTTTTGGTAAAACTGTTCTCTTGTTAAGACAGATCCTGAATTTGAAAAAAAGAAAATGAATTTCTTTTGCTGCTGAATGCTGGGCTTATTTGTTCAGTGTTCATTTATCATTTGTTTCTTCATTGTTTTGTTATTTATTTATTTATTTATTTATTTATTTATTTATTTATTTATTTATTTATTTATTTATTTATTTATTTTGGTTCTTTTTATTTTTGTTGCAGATCGTTTTGCTGCTGCTTGTCTTCGGTCTACCTTTGAGACATCCAATTTCCACCAGCTCCCTCGCGAGTCTTTCCTTAGAACAGCAGCAGCAGCAGCAGCAGCAGCAGCAGCAGCAACAGCAACAGAAGCAGCAGCAGCAGCAGCAGCAGCAGGGCGCAAAGAGGAGGTGGAGAGTAAAAGCTGGCAACGGAGAAATGGGTTTTTGGGGTGTACGTACACCTCAGAGGTGTGGAGAAGTCCAAAAGCGAAAAGAAGAAAACATTTCATTTTTAAAAATAAATAAAAGCATTTAATAAACAGAAATAAGTGGAAATAAATCATTTTTAGAAACAAATTGAAATGAAATGAAATCAAATAAATTCAAATTTCCAGTTCGGGAGTTCGGGTGTATGTACATCGCTGAGGTACAGCCGGTCCGTCTCAGTCAAAAAGCCGTCCAAGTAATCTTCGTAAGTTTCTGCATGTTTTAGTTCTTCTTCGAGGCTGTTTGGGGTCGCCATTGTCCATTTAAATCCATTTAAATGAATTTAAATCCATTTAAATGAATTTAAATCCATTTAATTCATTTAAATTCATTTAATTCATTCAAATTCGTCTCAAGAGGCTCAAAATGCCTCTTTTTAGCTCAAGTTCTTCTCCAAGATCCACTCTTGCCGTGTACAAACCCTAAACCCTAAACCCTAAACCCTAAACCCTTAACCCTGTTGCACAGGTGCTCGCTAGGTCTAGATTTAAAGAGTCTCGCTCCACAAATTAGCGTTTAGGGTTTAGGGTTTAGGGTTTAAGGTTTAGGGTTTAGGGTTTAGGGTGTAGGGTTTAAGCGAAGTCAGCTCCTCTTCAGGGCTTTCGCCGGACACCCGCTCTTGCTAATGCAGCCACCGCAGCAGCAGCAGCAGCAGCAGCAGCAGCAGCAGCAGCAGCAAATAATATTTTAAACTTAATATAATTTATTTTAATTATCTTTTTTCTCAAGTTCTATTTCAAATACCCAATAAACCCAAACTCAACCTATAGGGGGCCCCAAGGGCCCCTGGGGCCCTTGGGGCCCCTAGGGGCCCACGGGGGCCCCCAGGAGTCCCGGGGGGCCCCTCAGGGGGCCCCCCTTTGGGTACTAGCCCCTCTAAAGGGGCCCCTGAGGGTACCTTTTGCCTTTTCCGAGGCTTTTGAGGGTTTTCAAGGGTTTTATTCCCAGCCATTCGGCCGCAGGGCGAGGGTTTAGGGTTTAGGGTTTAGGGTTTAGGGTTTAGGGTTTGTGTCCATGGGGGCCCCTCTGCGCAGCATAGACCTCGACAAACTCCAAATTGACTGGTCTTCAATAGATCGCCTCCTTTCTGATTTCCAAGGGGCCCCCGAGCCTCTAGGGGCCCCCGAGGGCCCCCCTGGGGGCCCCCCTGGGGGCCCCCCTGGGGGCCCTCCTGGGGGCCCCCTTGGGGGCCCTCCTGGGGGCCCCCCTGGGGGCCCCTCTGGGGACCCCAGACCCTCTTTGGAGGCTTTAGATGCCTCTGAAGCCACATTTGGGGCTTCAGGGCGTTTGGGGGCCCCCCAAGAGCAGCAGCATGGGGCCCCCCAAGAGCAGCAGCAGCAGCAGCAGCAGCAGCAGCAGCAGCAGCAGCAGCAGCAGGGGGGCCCCCAGCAGCAGCAGGGTGGCCCCTCGCGCCAGAAGCGGGGCCGCAGCATTTCTGCTGTTAAGGGCCGAAGGCAAAAGTGCCCCGGGTGTGGAGTCCAGCGGTCTTTCTACTGCTGCAAGTGCTGCTGCCTCCTTGGGCCTGCAGCAGCAGCAGCAGCAGCAGCAGCAGCAGAAGCAGAAGCACCAGCAGCAGCAGCATTCCCACCAGCACCAGCAGCAGCGCCGCTCCCAGCAGCAGCAGCAGCGCCGCCCCCAGCAGCAGCCGCAGCACCACCCCCAGCAGCAGCAGCAGCACCACCACCACCACCACCCCCAGCAGCAGCAGCAGCAGCAGCAGCAGCAGCAGCAGCAGCAGCAGCAGCAGCAGCAGTGCGGGTGCCCCGCGTGCGGCTGCCGTTTCGGCTTCACATAATTCGCCACCCGAAAGAAAAAGCTTCGAAGTCTTCTGCTGTCCCTTTGGCTTTTGCTGCTCCTCAGGAAGTTTTGCTGTACGAAGCAGACCTCAGCAGCAACTCCATCACAAGAATTGGGCCCCTGCAGCAGCAGCAGCAGCAGCAGCAGCAGCAGCAGCAGGAGCTGCAGGTGCTCCGTGGGCGGAGGGCCGGGCGGTGCTGCTGCTGCCGGGAGCAGCAGCAGCAGCAGCAGCAGCAGTGGACTGGCAGCGAGTGGAAGATGTTGTGCTGCTGGACTGCACTTGGTACCAAGCAGCAGCAATGAGCCGTCTTGCTGCTGTTGCTGCGCTGCAGCGCGTGCAGCTCAGCAGCAGCAGCAGCAGCAACTTCTGGAGAAGACACAAAAACGGAAAACCTTTTTTCCTCTCAACAGCAGAAGCAGCTTATCTTGTCCTCAGGGAATACGACATGCGCCGAAGGGCAAACCAAGCTGCTGCTGCTGCTGCTGCTGCTGCTGCTGCTGCTGCTCCCGCTGCTGCTGCTGCTGCTGCTGCTGCGGGTGCTGCTGCTGGCGGTGCTGCAGTGGAGCCAAAGACGCAGGCCGCAGACGAAGCAGCAGCCGGCGAAGCAGCAGCAGCAGCAACAGCAGCAGCGGCAGCAGGATCAGCAGCAGCAGCAGCAGCACTAACCGCCCACAACAACCAGCAGCAGCAGCAGCAGGGAGAGCAACAGCAGAGCCAGCCGCAAAAACAGCAGCAGCAGCAGCAGCAGCAGGAACAGCAGCTGCAATGCCAGCAACAGGACCACCAGCAGCAGCAGCAGCAGCAGCAGCAGCAGCAGCAGCAGCAGCAGCAGCAGCAGCAGCAAGAGAGTCTGCTGGTCCCGGCTTTGAAGGCAGAAGAGGAGCAGCAGCTGTGGAGTTCTTACGAAGGAGATTTTGACAATTTGCTGTTTTGGTTTTGTTTAATTAAAAAGACAATTCAACAAGCAGCAGAATCCAGAAACACAAAAGATACTTTCTAGCCTTTTCTGCTGCTGCTGCTGCTGCTTGCTGCTGCATGCTGCTGTTTGCTGCTGCTTGCTGCTGCATGCTGCTGTTTGCTGCTGCTTGATGCTGCTTGCTGCTGCATGCTGCTGTTTGCTGCTGCTTGCTGCTGTTTGCTGCTGCTGGCTGCTGCTTGCTGCTGCTTGCTGCTGCTGGCTGCTGCTTGCTGCTGCTTGCTGCTGCTGGTTGCTGCTTGCTGCTGCTTGCTGCTGCTTGCTGCTGCTTGCTGCAGCTTGCTGCAGCATGCTGCTGCGCCTGCTCGCTTTTGCAGCTGCGCTAAACCCTAAACCCTAAACCCTGAGAAGGGGCAAACGGCGATGCGAAAGAGAGCCTGTCAAACCCTAAACCCTAAACCCTTTTGACTCAACAGGCTTCGGATTCTTTCTGTACGGCTCAGGGTCTAGAGTTTAGGGTTTAGGGTTTAGGGTTTAGGGTGTAAGGGTTTAGGGTTTAGGGTTTAGGGTTTTCATCTCTGTCTGTTGATATATGCTGGCATGCAGGGCTAACGCAAATAAACAAATTAAATAAATAAATTAAATTAAATTAATAAATTAATTATTTAGTTTTTATTTATAAATAAAAAGCAAATAAAAGATATTGGGAAATAAATAAATAAATATTCCAAAATAAATAAAGGAATAGATGGGGTGGCGCCTCTAGAGAAGGGATACGGAGACTGGCAAAAAGACGAACTGCTGCTGCTGCTGCTGCTGCTGCTGCTGCTGCTGCTGCTGCTGCTGCTGCAGTAGCGTAAACTGTTAATTTGGTTTGCTGCTGCTGCTGCTTTAAATGGGTTTGTTTTGCTTTTGGGTTTATTTCCCTTTAAAGTTAAAAGCCAAATGAACAAATAGAAAAACAATTCAAATTAAAGTCCATTAGCAGCAGCTTGGGGCTGCTGCTGCAGCAGCAGCGTCTTTGCTGCAGCAGTTCGCAGTGACTGGGAAGCAGCAGCAGCAGATGCTGCTCGGTGAACAACTAGCAGCAGCAGCTGCTGCAGCAGAAGACGCTGCACAGCAGCTACGTAGCGGCAGCAGCAGCAGCAGCAACAGAGAATGCTCAGCAACTATCTAGCAGCAGCAGCAGCAGATGCTGCTCGGGAACCATCCAGCAGCAGCAGCGGCAGCGGAAGTAGACGCTGTTTGGCAGCCTTCTAGCAGCAGCAGCAGCAGCAGCAGATGACTCAGAAGCAACGGTGCTACGAGCATCAGCAGAAGCAGGACAAATCAGCAGCAGCAGCAGCAGCAGCAGCAGCAGCAGCAGCGGCGGCGAGCGCCTGCAGGAGCAGCAGGCAGCGATAATTAGCCCGCTCGAAGGCTCAGTTCCAGTAAAAGCCCTTCGCATTTGTTTTAAAATCTGTAAATGCGGAAACAAAAGATTTAAATTAAATTAAATTGAATTAAATTGAGCGAAGAGCAGCAGCATCGACGCGCGAGCAGCAGCAGCTCAGGTGTACAGACAGCTCGCTGCTGCGCACCAGTGGTCCTCAGCGAGGCTGGCCGAGGCTTTTTCAGTTCTGATCCACTTTTTCCTCAAATAACTTGAATTAACCTTTTATTTTTATTATTTGTTTCTTTTCGTCCAAAGAAAGATCCTTTTGGCCGGCAATGGCGCTCCCGAGAGCCTTTTCTTCTCTTCCTCGGGGGGCCCCCAAGGTCACCGCACTTTTGCTGCGCTCTGGGGGCCCCCTGGAGGGCCCCCAGCCTGTCTATCAGGGCCTGCGTTCGTTTTGGGGGTCTTCAAAGTCCTCCCAAGCATCTGTAGGGGCTCCGGGGGCCCCCCAGAGGCCCCCTGGGGCCCCTGGGGAGGCCCCCGGGGCCTTGGGGGACTCAGGGGGGCCCCCGCCAGCTGCAGGGCCCCCCCTGCAGCCAAAAGCTCGGGAAGAGCCAGCAGCAGCAGAGAGCTTGGGGGCCCCCTCAAGGGGGGCCCCGGGAGGGGCCCCAGAGGGGGCCCCAAGGGGGGCCCCTGGGAGGGCCTCAAGGGGGCCCCAAGAAACAGAAAAAGCTGCTTCTCAGGGGGCCCTCCAAAGGGCCCCCCAAAGGGCCCCTCAGAAGAGCCCCCAGGGGGGCCCCCCGGGGGCCCCCCTGAGGTGGCGGGGATTGGGTCTGAGCTGTTTGGCTGCAGTCAAAAATGCCTACGAGAAGTTCAGCATTGTGCTGGCTGAGGGCCTCCCCAGCCAAATTGGGGGAACTCCAGCTCATTTATATGGCCCCCAGGGCCTCTGCGGGGACCCTACGGGGCCCCAAGCAGCAGCAGCAGCAGCAGCAGCAGCAGCAGCAGCAGCAGCAGCAAGAAGGAGCTCCGGCGCCTTCCTGGAAGCAGGGGACGCGGGGGCCCCCATCGCACAGCAGAAGCAGCAGCGCCAGATTCCCCAGCAGCCCTCTGGGGGGCCCCCCAAGGGGGCCCCGCAAGACCCTTCACACGGGGCCCCCGCGGGGGCCCCCCCGAAGGCCGCGCAGGGGGGCCCCCAGGGGGGCCCCCAAGGGGCCCCCCAGAAGGACCCCCAGGGGGCCCCCAAGGAGGCCCCCTCTTCCCATTCGGATATCCCGCAATTCTTTTTTCCCTTCGGAAGGGGCATGAGGGCTGCAGCAGGACTTGTGGGTTCTGAGGGGCCCCCAAAGGCAGCAAAGGGCCCCTCAGAGGCCTCTGGGGGCCCCCCGGAGGGCCCCAGCAGCAGCAACTCTTATAAGGCTGAGGCGGACCCTCTGGGGGCCCTTGAGGGGCCCCCCCCCTGGGGCACTTGGAAGCCCTGGGTCTCGCGCATGCACTAAGGACTTGTTGTTTGTTTCTTTCTTTGTTTTTACCCCGCTGCTGAATTGCTTTATAGGGAATTTCAGCTTTAATAGCCCTTGGGGGCCCCCTTGAGGTCAAAAGGGGCCCCCAGGGGGCCCCCCGAGGGCCCTCTAGGACCCCCCGGGGGGCCCCGGGGGCCCCCCAAGGGCCTCCATAGCCTCCTTGGGGGCCCCAGGGGGCCCCCACCGGGGGCCATAGGGGGCCCCTTGGGGCCCCTGAGGCCCCCCTGGGGCCCCAAGGGTACAGGGAAGAAGCTTTGGGCAAAATGCTGCTGAGGGGGCCCCTCGTTTCTTTTTCATAGCAGCAGAAGAAGGAGGATCAGCAGCAGCAGCAGCAGCAGCAGTGCTCCTACAATGAATATGAGCATCGGCAACAGCAGCAGCAACAGCAGCAACAGCAGCAGCAGCAGCAGCAGCAGCAGCAGAAAGGCACCATATTCCTCATTAGTGAAGAAATGAGGGCCAGCTCTTTATGGGCCCTTATTTTTTCTAGAGGCCCCCTAGGGGCCCCTAGGGGGCCCCTAGGGGGCCCTTTTGGGGCCCTTTTGGGGCCTTTTTGGACCCTTTTGGGGCCCTTTTGGGGCCCCTTGGGGGCCCCCTGGGGCCTTTTTAGGATTCATGAAAATTGGGTTTTCTTTATAATCCCATAAGGGTCATTTCGGGCTTTATGGGCCCCTCTGAGGCCCCAGGGGGCCCGCTTGGGGGCCCCCAGCCTGCGATGGAGCAGCCTGGGGGCCCCCCTTCTTTATGGGCCCCTTTAGGGGCCCCTTCAGGGGCCCCTAAAGGGGTCGCTTGTGGTTCGGGGGGCCCCCTTTAAAGGGCCCCAGTGCGTACGGGGGGCCCCTTGTCAAGGGGCCAATTGTGAGGCCCTTTGGGCCAATTGTGGGGCCCCTAGGGCCACTTGGGGGCCCCCATGGCCCCCCTGGGGCCCCTGGGGGCCCCTGGGGGCCCCTGGGGGCCCCTGGAGCCCCGTGGGGGCCCCAGGGGTACCCCGGGGGCCCTTGGGGGCCCCTAAGACCGCTGGGGGCCCCTGGGGGCCCCTGGGGGCCCCTGGGGGCCCCTGGGGCCAATTGTGGGGCCTTTTGTAGCTTTTTGTAAAAAGGATTTGTTGACTTGTCTATTCTCTTTTTCATTTATTTTTCATTTTGTTAGTTTGCATTTATTGCCATTAGTCTATATTCGCGGCTTCGCTGCAGTTTAGCTGTTCGTAGCGGTTTTGAACTAGGGTTTAGGGTTTAGGGTTTAGGGTTTAGGGTTTTTAGTGGCCGCTAGGCCCCAGTAGAGGCGTTGATTGCAAGCAGCAGCTAAGTGCTGGAACAGCTGCTGCTGCTGCTGCTGCTGCTGCTGCTGCTGTTGCTGCCACTTGTGACATGTTTTTCCCTGCCTTTGCGGCTGGCATTGCAGCTGCTGCTGCTGCAGCTGTTGTTGCTGCTGCAGCTGTTGTTGCTGCTGCAGCTGTTGCTGCTGCAGCTGCTGTTGCTGCTGCAGCTGTTGTTGCTGCCGCAGCTGTTGTTGCTGATGCAGCTTTAACTGCTGATTTCTCTACTGCTGCCGAGACTGTTGCTGCTGCTGCTTCACCTGCTGCTGCTGCACCTGCTGCTGCTGCTGTTCCTGCTGCTGTGGTTGCTGCTGCTGCTGGCGTCTCTGTATATCTGCTGCTGCTGTCACGACTTACCGGACTTTGGCTGCCACTGCTTTTGCTGCTGCATCTACTACTACTTATCGGCGGCTGCTGCACTTGCTGCTGCAGTAGCTGCTGCTGCTGCTGCTGCTGCTGCTACTGCGTCTCCTGCTGCTGTAAGTGCAGCTGCTTTTGCTGCTGTATCTGCTTCTACTGTGAATGCTGCTGCTGTAACTTCCGGTACCGTAGCTGCTGCTGCTGTTCTATCTGCTGCTACCAAAGCTGCTGCTGCTGCTGCAGTATCTGTGGCTGCTGCAGCTGCTGCTGCTCTATTCGTTGCTGCTGTGCTGCTGCTGCATCTGCGGACACTAAAAATCGTGGGTGGTTTTGCTGTCTGGGGCCAGAACAGCAGGCTGCTGCTGCAGGTGCTGCTCGTCCGCGAGGGTTTAGGGTTTAGGGTTTAGGGTTTAGGGTTTCCCGCGGCCCTGCAGCAACTCAAACCCTTAAAGCGCGCAGACGACAGCCACGAAACGTTAGGCCTAAGCCCCTGAATTTAGACAACAAGGCTTCAGCAGCAGCCTGAACTGGCTAAACCCTAAACCCTAAACCCTAAACCCTAAACCCTAAACGCTACACGGTGAGGCGGGCTCGCGTCCGTGCGCTGCTGCTGCTGGATTTCTGCTAGTTATCCTTCAGTGTTTTAAAAATGAAATTAAAAATAAGCAAAATCTCTTTATTTGGAGCTACGTAGGAGGGACATGGCAGCAGCAGCAGCTGCACTGCAGCAGCAGCGCAGCAGCAGCAACAGCAGCAGCAGCAGCAGCAACTGCCTAGAGATCCTGCAAGGCCACGAAGGATTCAAATCCTTAGAGGTGCAGACTGCTGCTGCTGTCTTCTTTTGCGCAATAGAGCTCAGCAGACAAACCATACAAGCAGCAGCAGCACCTGCTGCTGCTGCTGCTGTGGCTGCTCATCGATGCAGCAGCAGCAGTAGCAGCAGCAGCAGCAAATGCTGCTACCGCTACCCTCCTTCTCTGAGTTAGCTCCGTGGGTGTCTGTAAGGCATTTGGTAGCCTCTGTATCACAGACGAAACAGCCTGAAGGCTCAGCAGCAGCAGCAACAGCAGCAGCAGCGACGAGAGAGATGCCCCGTGCTGCTGCTGCTGCTGCTGCTGCTGCTGCTGCGGATTAGATGCGGCGCAGCGGCAGCATCAGCAGCAGCTTGTCATGGGCCAAACCGTCGTGTGACCCTCTTTGCTTCAGCAAACGGCCCCACAACCTCAGTTGCTGCTGCAGCACGCAGCAGCAGCAGCAGCAGCAGCAGCAGCAGCGCAAGGGTAAACTGCGTCGCTGCTACTGCGACAGCAGCACCTGCCGCTCCTGCTGCAGTGCCAACAGCAACTGCTGGAGTGTACAGACACCTCAGACGCAGGGGAGGACGAGACGCAATTGCCCCAGCTAGTCAATTAATATGCAGCAGCAGCAGCAGCAGCAGCAACAACAGCAACTGCTTTTGCTGCAGCAGCTGGCGCAGCAGCAGGGACCCACGCTGCAGCAACAAGACCGCCTGGGCCAGCAGCACACGCGTTACATGCAGCAGCCGCTTGTGCAGCAGCAGCAGCAGCTGCTACAGCAGCGCATGCTGCAGCAGCAAATGCTGCAGCAACACGTGATGCGGCAACAGCAGCAGCAGCAGCAACAGCCACCACAGCATCCGCAGCACCACCTTCCCGGCGCTCCCTTGATGCCGCAGCCTCTTCCGCTGCAGCAGCAACTGCAGCAGCAGCAGCAGCAACTGCAGCAGCAGCAACTGCAGCAGCAGCAGCAGCTGCAGCAGCAGCAGCTGCAGCAGCAGCAGCTGCAGCAGCAGCAGCTGCAGCAGCAGCAGCATGGCTTCCCGTCATCAACGCCGCAGCACAGAGTCCAGCCCCCCTGTTCTGTAATACCACCACGCCCTTTGCCGCCGCCGCAGCAGCTGCTGCAGCAGCCACAGGCAGCTTGGCTGCAGCAGCAGCGCTATAGTAAGCAGCTGCAGCAGCAGCAGCTGCAGCAGCAGCAGCTGCAGCAGCAGCAGCTGCAGCAACAGCAGTTGCAGCACCAGCAGCTGCAGCAACAGCAGTTGCAGCAACAGCAGTTGCAGCAGCAGCAGTTGCAGCAGCAGCAGTTGCAACAACAGCAGTTGCAGCAGCAGCAGTTGCAGCAGCAGCACTTGCAGCAGCAGCAGCAGCTGCAGCAGCAGCAACATAGAGGCCCTCTCCATCTGCCTCCTCTTGGGTTCCCTCCTCCTCTGAGCTGCAGTGACACTCCGCGGGGAGCTGCAGCAGCAGCAGCTGCTGCTGTTGCTGCTGCGACAGCAGCAGCTGCTGCTGCTGCTGTGAGGAAGGCAGCAGCGACAGCAGCAACTGTTGCTGCACGGAAGCAGCCCCTCATGCGGCATACATCTCCTGCTGCAGGGGGCGACGCCGAACTGACAGCAGCAGCAAGAGCAGCAGCAGCAGCAGCTGTTGCTGCTGCTGGCAACGCTTTAACGAGGCAGATTGCAGCAGCTGCAGCTCCAGCTGCTGCTCAGCCAGCAGCAGCAGCAGCAGCAACAACAATGTACGAGGGAACGCGGCCGCAGCCAGCTGAGAAGGAAGCAGCGGTAGCAGCAGCAGCAGCAGCAGCACGAGCAGCAGCAGCAGCAGCGGAAGCAAAAGCTGCAGCAACAGCAGCAACGCCGACAACGCCGGGAAGACCTCAAGTGCGGCCATCGCGAACAGCAGCAGCGACAGCAGCAGCAGCAGCAACAGCAGCAGCAGCAGCAGCTGTAGCAACGAAGTCAGCCTCAGCATCGTTGCCGCCGACAGCAGGAGGAGCAGCAGCAGCAGCAGCACAGCCAGCAGCAGCAGCAGCAGCTTCTCCACCGGCAGCACCTTCTTCAGTGCCAGCCGTTGCAACAGCAGCAGCAGCGCCTGTTGCAGCAACAGCAGCAGCACCTGCTGCCGCGACAGCAGCAGCAGCAGCAGCGCCCGTTGCAGCAAAAGGAGCAGCAGCATCAGTCCCTCGTGCAGCAACCGCAGCAGCAGCAGCGCCCGTTGCAGCAAAAGCAGCAGCAGCAGCAGCAGCGCCCGTTGCAGCAACAGCAGCAGCAGCAGCGCCCCTTGCAGCAAAAGCATCAGCAGCAGCGCCCGTTTCATCAAAAGCAGCAGCAGCTGCAGTCCCTCTCGCAGCAAAAGCACCAGCAGCAGCGCCCGTTGCAGCAAAAGGAGCAGCAGCAGCAGCCCCTCTTGCAGCAACAGCAGCAGCAGCAGCGTCAGGAGCAGCAAAAGCAGTAGCAGCGGCAGCAACAGCAGCAACAGCAGCAGCGCCCCTTGCAGCAAAAGCAGCAGCAGCGACAGTCCCTCTTGCAGCAACAGCAGCAGCAGCAGCAGCGCCCGTTGCAGCGAAATCATCATCAGCAGCAGCCCCTGTTGCAGCAGCAGCGGCAGTAGCAGCAGCAAAGCCCGTCGCAGCAAATGCAGCAGCAGCAGCAGCACCTCTCGCAGCAACAGCAGCAGCAGCGCCCGTTCCAGCAAAAGCAGCAGCAGCAGCAGCTGCCCCTCTTCCAGCAAGAGCAGCCGCGGCAACAACGCCTGTTGCAGCAAACGCAGCAGCAGCAGCAGCAGCAGCAACCCCTCGTGCAGCAAAAGTAGCAGCAGCAGCAGCAGCGCCCGCTGCAGCAAAAATAGCAGCAGCGGCAGCCCCTCTTGCAGCAAAAGCAGCAACAGGAACAGCACCATCACGACCCGTTGCAAAAGCAGCAGCAGCAGCAGCAGCAGCAGCAGCAACAACAGCCGCTGCAGGAGCTGCTGCTGCAGCGCCCGTTGCAGCAGCAGCAGCGTCACCGCCACAAGCAGCAGAAGCAGCAACAGCAGCAACAACACCGCCAGCAGGAGCTGCGGCAGCACCAACTGCAACACCAAGTGCAGCAAAAACAGCAGCAGCAGCAGCAGCAGCAGCAGCAGCGGCGCCGCGAGCTAGTGCAGCAGCAGCGCCTCCACTAGGGCATGCTGCAGCAGCAGCAAAAGAAGCAGCAGCTGCAGCAGGGGGATCAGCAGCACCATCCCCAGCTGCAGCAGCAACAGGAACAAAGCCATTTGCTGCTGCTAAAGAAATAGCTTCACGAGCAACGGGGGCCGCGTCTTCGCCACTTCCTGCTGCTCCTGCTGCTGCTGCTGCTGCTGCCAGTCGTGCTGCTGCTGCTGCTGCTCCTGTTGCTGCTGCTGCTGCTTCAGGGAAGACGCCCCATAGCCCAACGCCGCCCCCAGCTGGGATGACTATAAAGTTGGCATCATTGCGGCAGGCAGCAGCAGCACCTGCTGCTGCTGCTGCTGCTGCTGCTCCTGTTACGCCCCTTGCTGCAACTGCTGCAGCAGCAGCTACTCCAGTTGCTGCTGCTGCTGAGCCGTCGCGTGCTGCTGGCGCCGCTTCCTCTTCTTCGGTAGGGTCAGGAGAATCTATGGAAGCAGCAGCAGCAGCAGCAGCAGCAGCAGCAGATGCAGCAGCAAGCAGCAGCAACTACGCAGTTCACAAGCACCGCAAGAAGGCCTCCCGCCTGACGCAGCGCCGCCGCCGCAAGCCGCTGCAGCAGACACCAAATGAGCAGCAGCAGCAGCAGCAAGAGTGGGAAGACGCTGCAGCAGATGAGCAGCAAGAGCAGCAGGAGCTGCAAGAGGAGCAAGAACTGCAGCAGCGGCAGCAGCAACCGCAGCAGCCGCAGCAGCAGCAGCAACAGCAGCAACAGCAGCATGCCGACATCTACAACCAGACAGGTGATGCCGTTTCGCAGCAGAAGCTGGTGCAGCAGCCGCAGCAATCGGGACTTCAGCAACAACAGCAGCAGCAGCAGCAGCTGCTGCAGCAGCAACCGCAAGAGCAGGAACAGCAGCAGCCCGAGAAGAAAGAGCTTGGCGAGCAGCAGCCACTCTCAAATAATCAGCAGCAGGAGCAGCAGCTCGACCAGAAGCAGCCGCTGCTGCAGCAGCAGAACCTCGACCACAAGCAGCCGCTGCTGCAACAGCAGCAGCAACAGCAGCAGCAGCAGCAGCCGCCGCCGCCGCAGCAGCAGCAGCAGCAGCAGCAGCAACTAGAGGGTCCCCGCCTCCGTTTACGGGGCCGCATGCTGCCGCCCTTGTCTGCACGAGTTACCCGTGCAGGTGCTTCACGCAGCAGCAGCAGCAGCAGCAGCAGCAACGATGCCCCCGCAGCAGGCGCAGCTGCTGCTGCAGCGGAGGGCCAGGGGACTGCAGCAAGCATCGTCGACTGGTCTCGCGTGCAGCAGCAGCAGCAGCAGCAGCAGGAGCTGCTGCTGCCGCAAACAGCAGAAGGATGGGATGCACTGCTGGGGACTTCGCCTACATGTGAGGTGTCTGTACACCTGGAGGTGGAGACGCCGGACTACTTGCTGCTGTCGGTGCCGCCGGAGCAGCAGCAGCAGCTGCAGCAGCAGCAGCAGCTGCCGCAGCACCAGAAGCAGCAGCAGCAGCAAGAGGCCGACCCGCGTGAGCAGCAGCAGGGCCTCAAGCTAATGCTGCTCCAGGAGCAAATGGACCCGTGCGGCGCTGCTGTTGTTGCGCTGCTGCTGGACCCAGAGGCAGCAGCAGCAGCAGCAGCAGCAGCAGCAGATGAGCTGCTGCAGCCAGAAGAGACCAAGCTGGTGCGGCTGACGCTCCTAGACGATGAAGACACAGAAGAGCAGCAGCCCCAGCGCAAACTGCAGCAAGTCAAGCAGCAGAAGCAGCAGCAGCAGCAGCAGCAGCAGCAGCAGCAGCAGCAGCAAGGCCATCAACACCGAGTCCCACCGCTGGCTGCCCAGCAACTGCCACAGACGCAGCAGCAGCAGCAGCAGCAACAGCAGCAAGAGCAGCAGGAGGTGCAGGATGGTGGGGGGCCTTCTCTAACTCCATTACCCAGACAAAGGGTCACAGCACCAGCTGCTGCCTTGCCAACAGCAGCAGCACCAGCTGCAGCAGCACCAGCTGCAGCAGCACCAGCTGCTGCATCACCAGCTGCTGCAGCACCAGCCGCTGCAGCACCAGCCACTGCGGGAACAGCTGCTGCAGCACCAACCACTGCAGCACCAGGAACTACAAAAACAGCTGCTGCAGCACCAGCTGCTGCAGGAACAGCTGCTGCAGCACCAGCTGCTGCAGGGACAGCTGCTGCAGCACCAACTGCGGCAGAAAAAGTTGCTGCAGCGCCGACTGCAGCAGCACCAGCCGCAGCAGCACCAACTAAAGCACGAGTAGCAGCAGCACCAACTGCAGCAGCGCCAGCAGCAGCAGCACCAGCTGCAGCAGCACCATCTGCAGCAGCGCCAGCTGCAGCAGCACAAGCTGCATCAGCACAAATTGCAGCAGCACCTGCAGCAACCCCCACGAAGGCGGCAGAGGCTGCTGCACCAGCTGCTGCTGCTGCTGCTGCTGCTGCTCAGTTGAAGTGCACAGTAGAGGGAGGGGCTGCTGCCGACGTGGGATCAGCACAGGCAGCTGCAGCACATGCATCCGCTGCAGCAGCAGAAGCAGCAGTGGAGAAGTCGGCAGCAGCAGAGGCTCCTGCTGCTGCTGCTGCTGCTGCTGCTGCGTCGAAGCCAGTGGACGAGCTGCTAAAGGCAGCAAGTTCTCTTGACCCAGACCGCGTGCTGCTGCTGCTCAAGGTGGCGCAGCAGCTGCAGCAGCAGCCGCACAGTGGGGCGGCAGACGTACAAACAATGCTGCAGGCGGCCAACAGGAGCAGCAACAGCAGCAGCAGCAGCAGCAGCAGCAGCAACAGCGGCAGCAGCACCAACAGCAGCGGCAGCAGCAGCGGAAGCAAGTTTATTCCCGCCGCTGTCTGCCTCTCAGACACGGATAGCATGGAGAGCTCAAGGGACGAGGTGCAGCAGGACCGCAGCAGCAGCCTGAACAGCAGCAACAGCAGCAGCAGCAGCAGCAGCAGCAGCAGCAGCAGCAACGGTGGCGGCGTCTTCTACTTTGCGAGTGCCACGGAGCCGCCCGCGATGGAGCGTCTGCTGCTGCAGGGCTGCGGGCCAGCTGAGCTTGCGGCGCTGGAGCAGCAGCAGCAGCAGCAGCAGCAGCTGCTGCTGCTGCGGAAGAAGCGGCAGCAAGGAGACAAGCGGCTGCTGCACGAAATGCTGCGGGGAGTGGCAGGCCATTATTCAGACTTAGACATTCCAATTCCTTGCTTTTTGCTGTCGCGTCCCAGCAGAGCAGCGCATGCAGCAGCAGCACAGATGTGGCAGCAGCTGCTGGGCGACAGCAGCAGCAGCAGCAGCAGCAGCACCGGCGGCGGCTACGGGCTGTGTCAGCAGCAGCAGCAGCAGCAGCAGCGCAGGAAGAAGCGCATTCTTGCTGCTGGCGGCGCGTGCGTGGACGGCGCGTCTCCCCTGCGGTCGCAGCAGCAGCAGGCGGAGCAGCAGCAGCAGACGGAGCAGCAGCAGCAGCGGGAGTGGAACGGCGTGGCCACAGTTGCTGCTGCTGCTGCTGGCAGCAGCAAAGTGCGGCTGCGAGGCCCAGCAGCAACAGAGGAGGCCTTGAGCCGCAGCAAGTGGTGGGGGCCGCCGACGCCAGCAGGGGCCCCCCGCAGCCGCAGCAGCAGCAGCAGCAGCAGCAGCAGCAGCAGCAGCTGCGGCTGCAGCAGCAACTTGAAAGCCATCGACACCAGCCTGAGTGGAGTTGCTGGGGGAACTTATGACCGGGAGAACAGCTATTTGGGGTGTATGTACATCAGCAAGTACAACAGGGAGTTGTGCAGCCGCGTGGCAGCAGCAGGGCGTGGGGTGCTGCTGCTGCCGCTGCAGCAGCAGCAGGAAACCGCTTTTCAGCTGCAGCTGCAGCAGCTGCAGCAGCACGCCGAGGGCGGCTGGCTGCAGCCGCTGCTGGCCCTCAAAGATGCCCTTTATGCCCCTTGCATGCACCAGGGGGCCCCGCTGCAGCTGTCGCAGCAGCTGCTGCAGGCCTTCGGGCTGCAGCAGCTGCCTTCTTCCAAGGCCAACAGAAAGCTCAAGGAACCCCGCAGCGGGCCAGCTGCCTGGGGGGTTCAGGCAAGTCCTGCTGCTGCTGCTGCTGCTGCTGCTGCTGCTGTTGCGAGTGATGCTGCTGCTGTTGCGAGTGGTGCTGCTGCTGCTGCTGTTGCGAGTGGTGCTGCTGCTGTTGCGAGTGGTGCTGCTGCTGCTGCGAGTGCTGCTGCTGTTGCTGTTGTGGTGGGGTTTTGCTGTTTGCTGCTCTTGCTGCCCGGCTGAGACGTCGGCCGGGTGCTGCGCGTGCTGCTGCTGGCGTGTATTGCTGCTGCTGCTGCTGCGCCTCTCGCTGCTGCTGCTGCTGCTGCTGCTGCTGCTGCTGTGGGTGTCCTTCTGTGCTCCTACGACGGTCTTTATATCTTCCTTTTGCTGCCGTTTTTATTTTCCTTTTTTAATTCTTTTTTATTTTTTGCTTTTTATCTGCTTTGCTTTGTTCTGGGCCTTCATCTCTTTTTGTCATTTTTAATTCTTTTGAATTCTTTTTTGTTTCTTTAAATTCCCTTTTTGTTCTTTTTCTTCTTTTTACTCATTTAAAATTCCTCTTTGTTTCCTTTCGTTCTTTTAATCCATTTAATTTAATTTTATTTAATTTAATTTAATTTAATTTTTGAATTCCATTTTTTCACTGAGTCCTTTTTGCTGCTGCAGGCCTGGTTTTCTCTTTGTCGCCGAGCTGAATTGGATTTCTTTTTTTCCGAAGAGTCTTTAAAGTTTCCTCCCCCTTTAATGCTGCGAGTGGCAAATGCTGAGTTTCGATTTTTGCTGCTGCTGTTGACTACTTTGCTGCTTTCAAAAGAGCTGTGCGGCTCTTCAAGGCCCAAAATCCCCCCACCATCAAAACGCAGCAGCAGGAAATCGACTACAAAAGAGGTACACCAGAGCCTGCTGCTGCTGCTGCTGCTGCTGCTGCTGCTGCTGCTGCTGCTGCTTCTTGTTATCTTCCTGTCCTGCCTCTTTGTCTACTTTATGTCTCTTTTTGTTTATTTTTTCACTTTTTGTTTTTATTGCTTTCTGTTGCTGCTGGCAGCTTCTGCTGTTTCTGTCTCCCTTTAATCACCTTTTTTCCGTTGCTTCCGTTTCACTGCTTTTGCTGCTGCTGATCCTGCTGCTGCTGCTACTGCTGCTGCTACTGCTGTGTGCTGCTGCTGCTGCTGCTGCACCTCCAGCAGCAGCGGGCATTACGCTTTATGTCTCTTTTTGTTTATTTTTTCACTTTTTGTTTTTATTGCTTTCTGTTGCTGCTGGCAGCTTCTGCTGTTTCTGTCTCCCTTTAATCACCTTTTTTCCGTTGCTTCCGTTTCACTGCTTTTGCTGCTGCTGATCCTGCTGCTGCTGCTACTGCTGCTGCTACTGCTGTGTGCTGCTGCTGCTGCTGCTGCACCTCCAGCAGCAGCGGGCATTAGCAGCAGCAGCAGGCACGGCTCTCTCTGCATGCTGTGGTAGAAGAGTGCAGCTGGCCTATGGAGTTGCTGCTGCTGTGCTTGCTGCTGCTAGCTGCTGCTGCGGGTGGTGGTGGTGGCCGTGCTGCTGCTGCTGCAGCTGCTTCGTTTGCTGCTGCTGCTGCTGTTGCTGTTGCTGCAGCTGCCATGGCTTATGTGCGCACTCCTCTTTATTACCTGCACTCCCCATTCGTCTACCACGCGAAGCTGCTTGCTAAAGCAGCAGCAGCAGCAGCAGCAGCAGGAAAGGGCCAGAGCTTGACTGTGACTTCCAGGCTGCTCAGCGCGGATGTCTCGCCGCAGCCAGCAGCAGCAGCAGCAGCAGCTACTGGAGCTGCTGCTGCTGCTTCTGGGTTTGCAAAGGCGCGCCCCGAGGATGCTGCTGCTGCAGCACGACTGCCAGGCAGCCAGCATGCTGACGCAGCAGCAGCAACTGCTGCAGCAGCGCTGGCGAAGCAGCAGCAACGGGAGGAAGCCAAAGGTCGAGACCCAGAGGGAAGCAGCAGCAGCAGCAGCAGCAGCAGCAGCGGAGACACCACTCGGCTGCGGCTGAAGTGCTTCGGCGCTGCAGCACTTGCAGGTTTTGCTTCCGTGTCTCCTGCGGATGAGCAGCAGCAGCAGCAGCAGAAGCTGTCTGTGGCACAGAAGCACGAATTCGGAGCCCTCAGCGACGGCGGCGAGCAGCAGCAGCAGCAGCAGCAGCAGCAGCAGCTGCAAATCTCCGCGTCCCCGCACAGCAGCGCGCCGGCGACGCCGGCGTCGCCGCAGCCCAGCAGCCACAGCAGCAGCAGCAGCAGCAGCAGCAGCAGCAGCAGCAGCAAGGTGTGCAGCCGGATGGCGCGGCAAATCGAAGCAGAAGAATTCGCAGAAGCTCAAATGCTGCTGGCTGGCAGCAGCCAGCAGCGAATAGATCAAGAAGTTGCTCGATTTCGGCTGAGACCCCTTGTGGAAGCAGTTCACAGGGCTCAGGCCCTCCCCAGGTTTCTCCAGCCAGGTGCTGCTGCTGCTGCTGCTGCTGCTGCTGCTGCTGCTGCTGCTGCTGCTGCTGCTGCTGCTGCTGCTGCTGCTGCACGA